ATTGACTTACCTTACTCTAACCACCTCCAACCGGACTCGAACCTGCTTTCTCAGAACCAGAAGCAGTAGTCTTCACGCGGCGCCGCAGCCGACATTTGCTAGGAAAGCAATTAACTTTGTCTTAACAGCACTGACAAAATTCAAAATTATTTAAGGAAATTAATACTTATATTGAGGAAAATATTACTTGAGTAAAAATTTATGAAGTGGGCCTAGGGTTGCCAACCGTACTATAATATATAGTATTGTACTATTTTTTTGGGTCTGCCTAGTATATACTGTTGGAAAAAAATATAGTATGCAAAAATACTATATTTCTTCAATTATAAATATAAATATATTTCAGTCATTTGTAATAAATAAGTGTTTTAAAATGGATGACATTTATACTGAAATATCAATATTAAAAAAATATACTTTAAAACAATGGGCCCACAGATCAAAAATGGAAACATTTTTAAAAATACTTAGAAAGATTTACCAAATTTACTTAAAATTATTTCGCTTATGCTCTCTATTCCTGCAACTTCGGCATTCACAGAAAGAGTTTTTTCTAATAAGATTTTGAAATGGTGAGATGAGAGAAATAAAGCGAATATCTCACTAATAAAAAATTAAATTTTCATTTATGTTAATTTAAATATTGATAGCGTAAAGCATATGATACTTTCAAAGAAATATATATTTCTGCCTCTTATATGTGATCGATAAATTTGACCGACAGCCAAAGCACTATTACCATGAAAGAATAAGAGAAAACGGCCATTCAATCGCTTTTCTTTAAAGGCATTTGGAAAATGTTTGTCTGACGCTGTGCTTTTTTGGTCCAGGCGTTATCAAAATCGCTTTCTTCTGAGATTACTGTTGAGGTGGCATACTTGTAATTACGCTGCAGGAAATTGAATTAGTTTGAAAGTAAGAGTGCGTTCGAGCTACGTAATAATTACCGCAATATTGCAGACTTGTTGCTTTCCTGATGACATGTTACTGATGCTCAACTGAAAATTTTCTAAAATGCTGCAGAAATTGCGCAGTAACAATTTTTATGTTGCTTTTGATTTGCCAATGATGAGTAACTGATTGTCAAAATTTTGTTCCTCGAACGCTTGATTTAGGCAGAGTCGCGCAAATTTTCGCGTAGAACATGATACTCTTTCATACAGAGTAAGACTGCCGCATTAATAGCACCTCGAATACACCCTAATTTATAAACTAATTTATTTTCAATGATAACTAATTGAAATTCTCACTAGTTTACCTGCAACGAACTCATTTATTTAACATGGCGATGTCCTAGGCAGCAGTCAATTGTCTTTTCCTGCATGTATTTTCAACTACTTTAAAATGAGTTTGGCTTAAACAACTTCAAACTTCGTAAGCACTATTCTGCATTTCGATTATGTTCCCGCTTTCCGCTCCGCAAGAATCGAACTTAGGTATTCTGAGTTACGATCGAATCGAAAGAAGAGGAAGAGAGAAAACATCTTTCGAAATCAGCTGTTTGCCTAGGAATGTGAAACAAAACATAGAAATATTTGTCACCAAACTATAGCAGCTTATGAAGTTAAAGTTTGTAAATATGAATGAAATCCATAGTCGCGGCGTCATTGCTTGAAGAGGAGAACGAGTCTCAGATTGCGGTTGCGGAAGTTGAAAGGCGGAGATTTCGGGACATGTTTGAGCTTTTTCAGATGGGTGAATAGTCATAAATTCATCATGAACTGTATTACTCAGCGCTCAAAGCCAGTGAAATTATAAACGTTGTTTGAGCACTCCACAACATTTGCATTTACTACAGAGTGGAAGATTTCAACGCAAATGAATTCCATTTTGATTGAAAGCCGTCAGGAGGAGGGGAAGAACAAAGCTGATCCTTCCATAGCAAATAAAATTCGAGACAACATACGCACCTCTTTTTAAAAAGTTAGTAAAAGCGAGTGCAATAATAAAAACATATTTTTCTATATAACTTCACTTTTTATGTATGTATGTATGTACATACATCTATTAATTTTATATAAAAAGAATAAATTGTATTCAGTGCCTTCCACAGTCTTATTTATAGATAAGTAAAACAAAAACGGTTGGACTCCCTCTTTGAAAACCTCGCGCAATATCCCTTTTGGTTGCCATTATTTGAGCCAATTTTTTGTATTGCCCGTATTACCGCTCGCGAAAACACAGAAATCGAGAAAATTCATTTATGATGAATTTTACAATCATGCACAGTATATTTTACTTAATTTTTTCATAAAAGTTTATTATTTAAACCCACAAAATAACAATCGAACCGTCCTCCGTCAACAAATTTGCAACTTAGAAAAACGGAACGGAACGGAAACGGAACGCAGAATACCAAAGTTGCCAAACGGAGAAAATTTCGATTCGAGTCGAAATGCAGAATAGGGCTGAGTATGTTTCGTTTGAATACGCTTTCGTTCTGCACTTCACAGATGCTTTTTCATAACTAAGAAAAGCCTAAATTAAAAATTTAAAATTAAATGAGTTTTGAACATGGACATTCTTGCCTGTGAGCAATTGTAGCAAACATCTTTGGACGCTCAGCTACAGCTAAACATGTAAATGTGCTTTCAAATGATCAGTTTGAATTGTGTGCAGGCAGCAAGTCGACTGTCCGACTCTGCATTTAATTTCAACTACTTTAAAATGAATTTGGTTTACACAACTTCAAATTCAGTATGTTTCTTTTGAATACGCTTGCGCTCTGGACTTCACGGATTCTTTTTCATACTTCCAAAACACAAACTGTTTTCAGAGCAAAAATAGTATAAAAATTCGAAACATTTACTTATTGCATTTGTTTTAAAGTAGTCTTTCAATTAGTTGATTTAAAAAAAATCACTTGTTTCAGCAATTTCTTAGAGGTTCAACTAGTAGGGAGTTCATTGGTAAGCACAATCCTATGTTGGGGGTATAGATACATACATATTTACATGTACGAGTACCTCACTTAAAAAAATCGTATTGGCGAAAATCGCGCATTTTGTTTTTCAAGAATATTCTAGAAATGGGCGTGGCTATATTAAAACCAAAGATCATAAATTTAGACTTTATTGTGGATTTCGCCAGAATATCTATATGGATTAAAAAAGTTGTGGAACAAATGTTGTTAACGAAGCGATATTCTGCCGAAATCCGCAAAAAATTCTGCGTTTTGCTAACTTTAGTCCTGCAATTGCCACGCCCATTTCTAGGGGTTTGTCACCTTACAGAAAAATCTTTCCATACTAATATTATTTCTGGATAGCTATTCTATCGGAATCCGCAATAAAATTTAACTTTTTGCAAAAACCCGATGTTTAACACGTTACTAAATATATCTCATCATAAGTTTTCGTAAATAAATTACAAAAAATTTTTGATTCTCACAAAATAAACCATCTCATCATAAAGAAAAATATTTTAAAAATAGCTCTTGAAAACCCCTCATTTTTCCGAACCACGTTTTTTTTTATAGAGAATTAAACAAGGATTACGGTGGTATAATTTTAAATCCCTTATTTACTGGTCTTCACTATACAAACCAACTTCAAAAATTTCAGCTGTTAATAGCTAAGTTAGCTTTAGGACAATCTTGACCATCTTATATATAGGAATGTTAAGCCCATTTCTTTAGCTTTAAAACGACGTTAAGATGAAGTCTGTACGATGAGCGAAACCCGAGATATAACGATTTGAAGAAGTACATGATTAGCCAGAATCACGAAAAAATGCAAACTTCGACAGACCATATCTCCGCAGAAAAAAAATTAAAAAAAAATTCCTCTAACACGTGTTAGATTATTTTATGCATGGAACCCATAAAAAAATTTTGAAGCGAATCGGAGCCATGACGTAATTTTTTTTACGAAATCCGTCCGACTTAAAAAAGAATGTCTCATATGTAAGATTTCAAATGAAATTGAAAATAGGTTTAAATGGATATTATAGTTCGTCTTTAATTTGTTCATATTTTTTATAATTACATAACCAACTTACAAATACAACATTTATATTTTATCTTATTAAGTGTTCATTATGTTAACTGTCCAAGAATTGTATGCAGACATAATAACAAGAAGCCATATCAAAAAGTTTTACAGTTGCACATATTTTTGTTTGTATGTAGTTTTATGTATCATGTACTTATTTACATGTGTTGTCTAATATAGACAGATTCAACGCCATTCCGAAGATATTGCGCTTTGTGCATTTTTTCGATTTTTTTTTTTAATTTCTATTTGTTTATGTTTTTTTTACTTTATTTTCAATAGTAAACATTGATTCGGGTTTAGTAATAAAATTATAAATTACATCGTTTATATTGAAAACATTAGCTTGCCTGATTCAGTCTCTCTCCTACAATTATCAATATTTATGTGTTTATTGTAATAAATGTTTAAATTCCAGTATTCCGTAAAGTAGGGTGTAAATAGGCAAAAACATACGATTATAAAAAGAAATGCATTTATCTGCGTTTTATCTTTTACACGTAGTACTCGTACGTAAGATGCTGAATAATTATAATTATAGTGTCTGCACATATGTATGCATACATACATATATGAATGACTTATTAGTTTCGTAATATACGTTATAGTTCTATTTTTTCCTGGTTTTTATTATTAGTATATATATTGTATATGTATGTATAGATTTATGCGGAAAATGGTAGTGTGTTTGTTGCTGTGCTATAGAAACTACATCGTTCATACGTTGAAATGCATTTTCACATTTTTTAACCGACTTCCAAAAAAGGAGGAGGTTATCAGTTCGTCGGAATATTTTTTTTTTTTTTTTTATGTATGTTACCGCATAACTTTGGACCACGATTTTGATAATTCTTTTTGCATCGGAAAGGTAGTGACTCAGAGGTGGTCCCATACTAATCTGGTTGAGATCTGATCAGTGGATCTTGAGATATATATATATATATATTTTTTATATGGGAGTTGAAGTCGGTTTTTTTTGCTAAAAATTACTTGTTTATGCATTTAAACTTCGCAAATGGTAAATAATTTTTTTTATGTATTGTACAAATTTTGTCATTCTAAACTGTTTTTATGAGTTCATTTTGCCAAAAGGTCTACTTTAGCGCTTTATAAATTTGCTGTATTCACACTCAATTTGAATTAAAGTCCGATTTGTTGGTGTTTAAATGCTGCGTGTTTGAGTATTGTTCCATTGATGCAATTCTCGGCCTCATTGCCGCCATCTGCACTTCCTCCTCCTCTTCCGCCTCTTCTTCGTTTTCTTCCTCATGCTCCTCACATATACTATCGTGATGCTTCCGAGACTCTCGTTTACGCATATAATTGGTAAGCGGCCGCTTCTTTTGTTCCTTACAAAATGGACACGCCTTCTTTTGGGCCTTTAAAGACTGTGTTTGCCTGCATTTTTCTGCAAAAAAGAGCAACAAATATGTATATTAATAAACTAATTGAATGAAAAGGTTCTTTGTTCTGAGAATGCGTGTTTTTATATGTGACCTGGTCTACGGAAAGGGGGCTTAGGTGTCAAAAAAACAATTTTCACTTTTTGGTTGATTCGGATGGAAGATGAGATGCTTTTTCACGTGGTGAAAAGCAGAAAATCCTAACTTGCTTAGAAGTGTACTAAAAATGTAGAGAAAGAAGAGTAAAAACGAGTAAACGAAACGAGTTGCTTACTTTTAACAGCTTTTTCACAGAAAACTAGTTTTCGCACGTAAGCTCCCTTTTCGTAGACCAGGTCACATATGTAGTACTTAACACTCGCACATGTGAGTAGCTGTAAATTGTGAGATGATGATGAAATTACATGTAAAGTTTATTAATCGGGTTTAGCTTTTAATCAGGGCGCGTGTGTATTTGCTGCGACTGTCTACAAGGTTTTATGAGGTGAGAAAATTAAGTGGAGTTCCGTATTCAAACAAATTACAAGAGATTATAAACATTAACTGAAATAAAACTTTTCCGTGAAGTACTTATTGTAAATTTCTGATGATATTGCATTTTTGGTAAAGTAGTGTAAAAAGTATCCAATCTACGGAAGTTGGAGAGAGTTGCCAACTGGGAATCTTAGGAGACGATATTTGCTTATTATTTATTAGAATACCATAGTGATTGGAATTCAAATGCCTGCTGCGAATATGAAAAAAATGCTATCACTGAATCTGAGTGAACTCGAAAATATCCTTGCCAGCTTCGAATGCTGATTCGAAATCAGCTAGTGCAAAGGAAACAATAGACATTTATGTATGTATGCCGTTTTGCTCACGCTGCCCCAGCAGTCACAATGGCCGAGTGAGCAAAGCACTAGACCGAGTTAGAGTTCGAGTCGTCGGCAGCGGAGCTTTTTTTCTTTTTTATTTAATTTGTGTTTTTATCAATAATTTTTTTTTTAATTTAGTATTTTGCCGGCTCGAGGTCAATTTTTAATTTTTTTTTATGAAAACACACGTTTTTTGGTGTTTCTTTCCGATATATTTCGGTTACGCTTCGGTAACCGTCCTCAGTACCAAACTCCTCGTCAAACAGTGCGGACGTGTAAATTAATTTGCCCTGAGGACGGTTACCGAAGCGTAACCGAAATATATCGGAAAGAAACACCAAAAAACTTGTGTTTTCATAAAATTTGTTTAAAAATTGACCTCGAGCTGGCAAAATACTAAATTATAAGTAGAAAGGTCGCTAAAACCATCAGTACACATTTTTTTTTAGTTTAGATTTTATTCTTTTAAAGAGAAAAATCTTTTTTTTTTTTAATTAATTTTTATAATATTAAAGTAATTAGATTTCTTTCCTAATAAGTTGTTTTAAACTATTATTTCCTCGCTTCATAAAAAATATTCATTCATTGAATAGCGTCTAGCAGATGAATGTATGTACATTAGGGTGGTCCAAGAATGCTTGTGAAAAAGTAAAGTGGGAATTTTTATGCTCTCACCCCCTAGGATTATTCTATATCGAAAAAAATATACCCCTATTTTTTTTATTTTGAAATCAAAATATATTTAGAGGTCGTTCAAAGCGCTCAAAGTTGTCCATGTATTTTATATGGGAAAAAGACCACTTTTCGTAGAAATGGTATAGAATTCTTGAAAATCAATAATCAGAAGATTCCCAATAATATTACTCAATTATTTATTTAACCATTTTTTTTATAGTAACTATATTTTATAGGTCCGCCAAAACCCCCAGAAATTGTCAGAAAATGCAACGGGGGAAAAAATAAAAAATCTTTGGTATTCAAAAATGTTAAATATACAATTGGGTATTTTTATTGGGAGTCTCCTGAAGAGAACCACAGTCTTCTGATCGAAAAATATTGATTTTCAAGAATTCCATACCATTTCTACGAAAAGTTGTTTTTACCCCATATAAAATACATGGAAAACTTTGAGCGCTTTGACCGTCCTCTAAATATTTTTTGATTTCAAAATGAAAAATAGGGGTATATTTTTTTCGATATAGAATACTCCAGGGGGTGAGAGCATACAAATTCCCACTTTACTTTAGCATTAATTTTCCGACTTTTCTTGTTTTGGACCACCCTAATGTACATATGTATGTACGTATGGCACTGGTATTTTACGTCTACGTTTACAGAAATATATGGAATTATATCAAACTATAACAAATTTGGAGTATAATAAATATTTATTATTAACAATAGCGCAGCTTTTTAACATTATTTTCAAGATTCAGTGATTTTAAATTTTGTTCCGACAGCATAAATTCGTCGTAGAGTATCTGTACGAATCTTCTTTACTAACGGATTCAATGAAGGCACTCTACGAATTTCGAATTTACGTTCGTAGCCATTCGGTTCAGTGCACGGACTTTACCCCTTTATTGGGAGATCTACCAACTTTTTGGTTATATTATATATTCTAAAATTTTTACCAACAAATGCTTTAACTCGACCAATATTTTCCGGAAAGAAATCAAAGAGGTTTAAATGAACAAACATATTTTGTCATCGAACGCATTTTAAATAAAAATTAAAAGTTAACTCTGACGGAGAATAATTGTTAGATCCTCCCTCCTATTGAAGTAATTCAGGGCACGAATCAGAGCATCCGTGTTTGAGTCAAATTTAAAACGAATTATCTTTTTGAGCATTCGATAGTGAGTTCGCTTTTTCAATTCACATTGTATTGCAGAAAAAACAGCTGTTATTTTAATCAGTCGGTTCGAATCACGATTTAATCACGGATGCTGTGATTCGGGCCCAGTTTTATGTATACTATGTGCTTTGTTGGATATTTTATTCACGTGAAATAGTTTTTTTGTTTTATATAAAAATAAAATGTATCCCAATGCGAATTCATATAAGGTGATAGCAGGAGTACAAAACAAAAATTACACTAACAAATTTTACGCATAATGTCAGTATGAATTACAACAAATACTTCAATTTGACATTAAGAACAACCGAAGGGAAAATTCTGCCTCTCTCGTAGCACCATATTTTATGAAATCGCCATGTTATGAGTAGGGTTGTCAGACGTACTGCTTTTGGGAGTACACGTACTCCTCTTTTTTGCAATGTACTCCCGAAAAAGATCTGGAAATGTGTTCCTTTTTTAGTTTTGTACTTTTGTACTCCTTTTTCCTAATATACAGGGTGTAAAATAAAAACTTTCGCACTGTTTTTTTTTTAAATAAAAGTAGATATGTTATTGTAAATTTTCCACAGATTTTCCTTAAATTTTATTAATTAGTTTTTAAATTTTAACCTTTTTTGGGTTTACCAGCGGTAAACACTTTGAGAAAAAGCGCAAGCGGCACGCAAGTGTTCATTGGTTACTTTATTACATACAGTTTAGGCATAGCAAATTTTTAACAATACTGTAGAAATAAAAGTCCAAAAGAAACACTCCGATTAATTTTGAAAATAATCGGAAAAAATCCTCAAAAACTGACTACTGGCATTCTTACTCAATAACATTAGCAACAATAAAAGTGTCCACTCAAAATTTGGCTTTTTTGAGATTAGAAATGTGCACAGAGCTTTTATTTACCTTCCAGCTAAAGCTGGAGCAAATTTTTGTTGTAATTTGTTAAAAAAACCTAAGGTAAAGTCACCCGCCCATATGATTATCATGTGCTAAGAAATAGTTTTTCGCATTTTCTGACAAACGTATTATTTTGAGTTGTGACTCTTTTGAAGACGGTGTGCGATATATGTATAATTTTACTAGTTGGGAGACTTTTGACATTCTCGTATTCTGGAAATTTTTTAAACGATATTTCTGCACATTTTTTAAACGATATTTCTGCAAAAAAACCGCAACAGCAATTTAATCTAAATGACAACTAAAAAATCACAACGCAGGTATCCACATATTTTCATTTTTTTTACCCAAATGCGGTGTTGGGTATTTTCTTCCAACGCTTTTTTATATGAAAGAAAATAAGCGTCACCGTAAAAAACATTGCCAAAAATCAACTGTAAATTTTTCTACAAAAATTTAATGGGCTACAAAACTGCATACTGAAAATCTTTCTAAGAAATCTAACAAAAAGCTCGCTTTTTTTTCTTAATATTTTTTTATTGCACAAAGTTTGATATATTTATATTTATACGGGTTTTGCTAAAGACTAAGCTGTAATTAAAAAAAATCTTGTGGTGCGCTTTAATTTTGACACGGGGTGATAACGGATGGTATACTACTTTCAATCTTTTTATTTATTGGTTCCCTTAGTTTTTAGTTTTCTTGCTTGAAATGTATCCGTAAATAAAACAGTAAATTTTTATAACTTGTGTAAACGGTTTTTATTAATTTTCGATTTTAATCGAAACTACCGATTAATAATAATAATAATAATAATAGATTGGCGCTTACACATATGTTAGTGTTTGGCCGAGCTTCTGCTCCGACTTGTGGCGTGCGCCTTGATGTTATCACACAAAGCGGAGGGACCTACAGTTTTACGCCGACTCCGAACGGCGATTGTATTTTTATGAGAAGCTGTTTTTCATGGCAGAAATACACTCGGAGGTTTGCCATTGCCTGCCGAGGGACGACCGCTGTTAAGAAAAAACCGTTTTCTATATTTTTTGAGATGTTGCTTTGACCAGGGCTTGAACCCAGGTGCTGATGTGTGAAAGCGCGCACTGCTTACCACTACACCACAGCGGCCGAAACTACCGATTAATTGGTTAAATTATTACGATTAATTGCAATTATTAATCGAATACTTTCTATTAATCAATTAACCGATTAATCGATTATTAAATTTTTTTTTGTCATCACTAAGAATAAGTGAAGTACATGAAAGAGCAACACATTTTTATATGCATATGAACATCTGCCTGACCGTCTGCATTACGGTAAATTTTCAGTTTTTGTACATTGAGCGTGTGTGAATCGGTAACAAAGTTCGCGGCGAGTAAATTTTTGACAACTATGA